AGTTTCCCTTATCCACACTCCTCAATTTTGTGAGCCTCAATCAGGTCCTCCATCAGATTCCTCTACTCTGAGGAAGACAAGACAAGATGCAGTCTGGATAGTCTTTAGGAATATGTTCAAAGGAGGAGAGGTGGCTGTGTGATTTGATTAACCAAATAGCAGCAATTGTGAAGTGTATCTAACTCAAACCCAGTTTTTGATGGGTTTTATAATTAGAGGTGCAAAGTTACAAGGTTTTGGTAAACATATCAAAAATGTTGAACCTCACTGTTCCAAGTAAGCCTTGCCAAAGCCAAATCTGTGGATTCCTCATCAGAGGTGAAGAAGGAGGAGGAGGAGTAGGAAATATTCTGAGGGGCTGGTCTCTAAGGCAGAAACAAGAGTACGAGAGAGAGACAAGGAGTTGTGAAGTAGGGATTGAAGTTTGAGCATGTTAAGAACACATTCACAGTGGTAGCCATGGGACAGAAGTGCAATACTTGAAAACATATCTTACTTGGTTGCCGAGACTGGAGGTCTCAGCATCCCTCCAAGTGGTCATGGTCCTCTCCCACTAAGTATTCTCTCCTTGAAGAGAAGGCAAGGAGATGAATGTCAGGCACCCCATCACGACCCATCTTGGCTTATTGTGTGCCACGCTGGCAGACCTCTACCTGCAGATCAGTTGGGAGAAAAGTGGCTAGGTGTCCTAAGCAAATAGGAAGCAGAGGGTGCATCAGTCTGGAGGCTCAGAGCAATTGAGGGAAGATGCTGCCTGAAATAGAATGGTAGAGCATGAACCTTGGTGCCAGTAGGGTGCAGTAGAAGAGAGTTAGAGTGAGTGTGAGGAGTAGAGAGAAGTTGGTGGCACTTGCCCTTTCAGACCATAGAAGGTAATTCACCACCTTCCTGCACTGTTACACATTCCTCTGGACCATGGGTGGCAACGTCAGACCAGGTCTGGTGCCATGGTCTCTAGTGAAGGTCCTGTCCACTACGCCATCAACAACGTTGCCTCTTTTGGCCATCTTTGGGGCAATTCTTCCAACAATGCAGCTGTGAATGGCAGTCCTTGGCTGGCACCGATTGACCTGGTACACAGCTGGGTTTTAAAAATGGCACTGGCAGTAGAAATCCCTGAAAATCTCAACGGTAGTGAGTACTTCCATTTCTGGCAGGCACAAGATAGCATGAGAGGTGTGCCATAGAAGTGTGAGGTCAGCAGCGGAGAATTGCATGAGAAAACCTGCTAGAGTCCACAGGGAGAATTCCGCCATGAAACTCCTTGAATTAGATACTAAGCAAACCTTTGGTAAAATGCAGCACAAGTCATTGTGAAGGCAGCCACAACATCACAGGGCAATGTCATAAAAATCCATCCCTTAGTACAATGAATATGAGCAATGAATTGGCACTAGATAAAACATAAGTAGATATGCAAGATAGATATACATTGTAGATGTTCTATACTATATGAAATGAAAGTACTATTGGATGAATGCACAATAACGTATTGAAATGAAAAGAGAAAGTGGAGCTATTTTAAACAGATATAATGTAAATTCTAATATACGTAAATTATTCCTATTACATGTTCTTAGAAAGGTCTTCATGACAAGAACTATCATTAGTAGAAAAAAATCCCACCTATCCTTTTTGTCTGCAGACAAATACTCTTACTTCATAAATGCTATCTTTTGACAAGCAAGTCTTAAGCAGCACATATTACATTTATGGCTGACATTTAATTTTTATTAACATTATGTTTAGTACTCAGCTTTAGAGCTTGCTGTCACATTCTTTAACACCAAATTGTTTCTGCTTATGTATATATCCTGACCTCATTTTATTTTCATCTCTAACAATAATGCATTATTCTAAGTAGCTGCCACATGATATTTCTCAGAATGACACAGGTTCTTCATGATCCTGGTTGCTTGGTCAATTACAACAAAACAAAATGCGCTGTGAGATATTTGCACAGTGAGAATCTAGTCTACAAGTCAGGCAATTAACCTGGTTGCTGATTTTTGCTGTCTGAGGGATTTGATTTTCAAGAATAGCCTGACATTGCTTATTTACTTGAAAATAATATGACATTATTAACATAGAATCATCTAGTTAGTATACAGTTCCAATTATTGTCTACTGGGTGCAAACAAAACACATTCATCTATTATTGCTGTATCCAAATGCCTACTATCTCTAAATTAATTCTATGACTTGTGTCCAAATCTAAACCATCATTAATGTGTACTATAGTATATTTTTTGCCTGTAACAAATTGGTACTGAATAATCACAAGCATGCATTAAAAGCCTCAGTAATACAAAGAACAAATGATCGAAGTGCAATACTTGGAAACCAATGTGATATATTCCAAACACTAACAGGTTTGTTACCCAACAGGTAATAAAGATCATGAAGCAAACAGCCTACTTTTACATCTAAAAGAGAGACTACAAACACAAGAGAACAATTTTATAACTGAAGTATATATCCTTGCAATTAATTATAAAGCTTAGAATATTGTTTTAATACTCAAATATCAAACTATTATTTTGAATCTTGTAAATAACAACATTTGGAATGGTTTAATGAAGGGTGAGATGTGCTTTGAATCAGACATGCTGAGTGTTTTAACTAATTTTACAGCATCAAAATTTTATATTTATGGTATTTGCCTTATGCAACCAAAATGCTTTAAGTTAATGCTTTCAATACGTTCATCTTTCAAAAAGAAAGCAGAGTGCTTGTTTGTGTGTCACCTGCAATATTATCATTCCATAAAGTTCAGATGCTGACTGCAAAATTACAGACATTTTCTCATCCACCATAATTATTAATCCACAGCACTCCAGAAATACTATTTCTAAAACAGTGTTTCAATGTGAAGTTCAATACTAAACCTCTACTACAGTCCAATGTTTAATTGGTTTCAAACATTTAAATGTCCAAGCGTTTGCTGACACCAATGATATAATGATAAATGTTGACTACCCATGCTCATCTTCAGCTTCTCTCAGAGTTTATTGTCATGCTCAATATGAAATTAACTTTGAAAAGTAAAAACAAAAATCTCTTTCTCAATTTGCTTTCCTCTTTATACTGATGTACTTAGTCATTTTCCCCTCATTTCGCTGCTACTGCATATGCTCCTGGGTGACTGCTAATTCAGCCTTAAATGTCTGTAGTGAAATAGAACACAATAACAGATGTAGTGTTTTTCTATTATATTTTACATCTCTTGTCATCAATGTGAAATACAGGGTTGGAAAAGTAGGTTAACCATTACTGACCCGTAGTTCAAATGGCAGCATTTAAATGTCAAGCTAAGTCATGCATCACGCCCCAAGCCCAAACTTTGCTCTGGAATGCCTACAGTTGGAAAAGAGTATTTTTTGCAATATTTTCACAAATACTGTGATTAGCTATACAGAAAACTTGCAAAACAAATTGTCCTTGTAAAGGCTTGTCTTTGCTTTAATTTAACATAAATTCAGGAATTATTGTTTCACTTCTTTGTGTGCCCATAAATTATTTTTAAATAATAAAAATAGTGTTTGTGAATAAGGAATAATTGCTCAAAAACAACGGCAAATCCTATTGGTGATTCTCCTTGAAATAGTGACGGTTAATATACATCTTGTGCATACTGCATTATGAAAACTTAAGCCCTGTCAGAGATACATTACATCAATGTAGTGCAGAATTAATCTGGAGTTTATCCAGATTAATACATTTGCACTGAAAATGCAATTTTGATTATAATTAATCTAAAGCATTGCTAGATTAAAATGTCAACATAAATGAGATATTGGTGAGTTCTGCTTCACCAGATGAAATCAGTTCAACACAAGCGGCTTGAATTCTGCTTCTTGATTATTCCAAATGTAACAATTATTGGGATGAACTAATGCAACAATATGATGATACTCGCACTTTAATGCTGGAAAACAAAAAAAAAATGAGAAGGTTTAGCTCCTAACTGGCTTCTATTTTATGGACACCCACACTGCATAATCTGAAATGATTCTGACATTGAACAAATTAAATTGAAAAGTAAACATCTATTTTTGTGGTGCAAACAATTTGGCCAGAAGGGGAGCGACCAACAGTAGTGCCAATATAGTTGCCATTTGTAAATGCTTTCAGACATTCCCTTTACAATCTTTATGTAAGGCATTGGCATTGCTATTTATTTTGAAAAAGCTGGTATTTATTTTTACAGTCTTACTTTGGAGCTCATGTCTTTTCTGGGTAAAAAGACAACAGGGCTATGTAGAACCAGTAGTTTTTAACCTATTTGGATACTACTGTTCACTGTTTGCCACATAATGTAACTGCAAAGATTGCAAATGTAATATTATTTTTTGATAGCAGTTTTCTTTTTGATAATAAATAAAATACAAACTGAAATTTAAAAAAAAGCAAATCATACACCCTTCAATATCTGCCAAACAAAATAGAGAACACAGCCTGTGGTATTTATACCAGATGCTGGTTTTATGCAAGATGCGATTAAAGCAGTACAATTTCTGCAAACGGCATTAATTCAGAATTTATTGCTCAGGTAGTGAAGGCTGCTTTGTATTACGAAGGAAAATGACTAAAAAGTAAGTAGGCTGAAAGGCCTCTGGTCACTGATACTGATATGCCTCACCATAATGGAAAAAATACATGATTGGTATCTAATCTTGAGCTTAAACAAAATTAATATGTCATCAGAGGAATCACAAGTACAGCAAAGATTAATGAAAGGCGCTTAAAATTACAAGCATGCAAACTTATTTGATTAAAAAATAATCTCACTGGCCATTCTGCAATATTCTTCAACTTATCCGCATCTATCCTGTCAGATGGTTATGATTAAAAATAGGTCAGCGTGAGGCTACTGATAGAAATCACATGTAAAACACACATGTGATGAATATAATTGAGACAGGGAGGGGAACTGTGCAAATAATTTTAAGATCAAAGAAAATTTAATATGGAAAGATGACAAAATCTACAAGTATTACCAGAGTCTTTATCAGACTTCTTGTTTTCTTTGTTGTCTTTTTCAGTTGTGTCCTTGTTTTCAGAAGCACCAGCTGAAACAGTGGTTTTACCAGGTCCTTCAGTCTGCTCATCTACAATTAAAAATGTGAGGGAGATTAGGAAATCAGATTACTAACTGCACAGTATTTGTTTGAAAGAAACATTTACTCAGTTTCATAGCCTGTGCATCACAGAAGGCAAAAAGTAAAAATATACTATATGCTAATTTCAAAGCTTTTACTCTTTATTGGAAGGTTAAATATTGTCCAAGTAAAATACTATTTATCACTTGTATATATAAAGAAATGCAGTTAATTGCATGTCTGGATGCAAAATCCAATTGATCTTAAACTTTAGACCCTCTCCTTGGGGGCCATAAAATATTATAAAATACATATACATCTGTTGATGTGAAAATAAAAAAATTGATAGTTTAATTGTGCAGAATTTTATTGACAGTATATAACTGAATATAGTCAAGCACAGCATGTCCTAAGTGCCACAAAATAAAATTGAACTAATTTAGTTTTTTGTCGTTTTGTATTGATTGAAAAATGTATGATTAATTTTAGATTAAAAGAAAATAACTGTCTATAGGGGGCACTTCTTTAGGAGTAATGTAATATCCTATCAAACAACTTGCAATTGATACCCAACTGAAATATTTGCTATAGAACGATTGCATACCTCCATCGACATGCGAACCTATAAAGAAAGGCTAATATCAATTTAAATAGTTATGAATTCTTCCAAGTTGTAATGGTGTTGGATTAATCTGTTTATGCAGTTAGCTGCATGGCTAGGGTTAGGCAGCACTAATCCATGAAATGCCCACTGTTCCTTTTCATCCTGTGATCATTTGTCTCTCACTGTGTTGATGTCACATTTTAATGAATTTTTAGCAGCCTGAGTAATGCCAGATAACCAGACCTGCAACTCCCACAGCACTGCATGCTGCGTTCACTGCATTGCAAAATAAAAATCATATTTGCAAGTCCCGGTAGGAATTAAACAAATTAGGTGATGGAAACAAAATGGCGCGGTATCCTGTCGGTCAAAGCAAAAGCCTTCACTCATCAGATTCATAAAATCTTAATAACCATAAAAATTGACCTCGAGGAGGTGAACAGGTCCTAAGCACGCTGACATACAGTCCCTCCATCCTTGTTTGCTAAGCAATGCTTTTGTTAGCTGGCTAAGACAAGTTAACCCTTTATGTTCCATACAATGATCCTATTTTACATTTACGCATGACACATCAGCTCAGAAATAAATATAACATAACATTTTCATTGCAAATGCTACAATGATTGAAGGGGGAGAAATAAGTAGACTCCGAATACTATGTTTTATTGATAGTGTTCTGACAGCAGGGTGAAATATTCCCTGTCACATGCAGCAGCTGGTTGCAAAAATTGCTAGTTTAGCACTAAGATGACTCTTGGGTGACAGCATTCCGAAATTCTGAAATGCAGAAATAATAAACCTGACTGGTGTGCTCAAACAGTGGATTAAAAACATTCTCTGTGTATATCAAATGCTATGTTTGCTTTACATACATGGTCAGATTGAAAGATTAAATTTAAACAATTTGAAAATAATTTAATTTATTTTGTTATACATATTTGATTTGATATAAATAGGTTTTGCATTTACACAAAGGCAAGAAATGCAATCATTTTAAACTGATCTGTTCTAATCCATCTCAAGGGTGTGTTAAAAACAGATTGATCTAAATTGATTTGTACCTTGATGTGCACAGATTAACCCGGTTTAGACTGATTAGAATTGGTTTACAAACTCTATTGGACTGTATCTACTCCCCTTATTTGTCTCAATGGTAGTGCTCAGTATTTTCCAATCCTGATTGTTAATCAAAGTAGAGACTCCGCAAGCTCGCTGGTCACAGTAGGTAGACAAAGCTGTATTTGTAAAGGTGGTAGGGGAGCACAGTTTGGGCTGCTGTTCATCTGTGATCATGACCTGATAGGTCTGTGCTAATGCCAAGTACACACACAGCTCATATCCAGTGTCGGGCCCTACAACCTTAGAAATCTTGTGAACGACCTTTCTTTCTCATCCTTGGGAATTTATGCATTGTTCTTTCACTGGATTTACTGACCCATTTTCCGTGGGCGAGGAAATGAAGTGTCACGGAGTGTCCTTACCTTCGGGGGACATGAAATTTTCAAGGCTATCACGGCACACATTAATAAAACATGGTGTGTTAAAAGGCAAATTATGAACCCAGTAAGAGTAACTATCATCTGGGTCTCATCAGTCAGTTTGCTCAGTTCTCTTCTGCCTTTCTGGTATGTGTTTTAAGAGCGAGAGAAATTCCCAGACATGTTCTCCTATACATCATCATGGAGTCTGACCCAGGCCTGACCCTCACAACAGTTTGACTAATCTGAACGTGAACAAAGACTTCATGTCAGCAGCACAGAGCAACTGTGGGATAGACTCTCCCCATCAACTTAATAGCAAACAGCAGTGCTGAGACTATAACTTAGAGGATTCCAACATGCCACAAACAAATAAACCTCCAAGGTAAACTGTTCACCAGATACATATTTTTATCTTGCTACCTCACGATTTGCTTGATTTGCAGCAAAAAGATGATATTTGTGAAAGAGCAACAGAGACTTACTAGAAACAAGAAGATATTTGTAGAAGTATACAGATTTTAAACCCTCAGACACACAGAGTAATTTTTCAATTTGACTCTGACATGCGTGAAAATTTAAATTTAGCTTGTAGTATATTTCCATTATGAAATAAAATCCAAATAAAGAAAATCCTAGTTGGTTTGAAAACACAACAGAAGTGTTCACAATTTTTACAACCTAACCTTGAAAACAGACTCATATTTTCTTTGCATCCACAATTAAATGTGAAGTTATGTACTGCAGAAATTAAAAGTGATCATCAAGTAATATTTCTCTAGTTATAAGGAAAAGCCTAAAGTGTATCAAATTAATGGCTGAAGGAGGACATGGTAGTCTATTTATGTATTATATTTCTCATTAAAATATGTGAGATTTCCAAGCTACAGACTCTAAGCAGAACTCAGTAATTTTTACACTTATTTTATTACATACTGTGGTAAAAAGCACCATCCTGCTATCCAGTATGCTGGACCTGCAGTTTTTCTTAATTATAATCAAAATTTATTAGCAGAAACTCTAGGGTTAGGTGATCTCCAAAGTGAATTCAATGATATTTTTGTAATAGATATATCACATTCTCACTTGTGTAGAATATCATAAGCATCTGCTCGGGTAATAATTTATTTTCTCATCTGCTTTCATCAGGAAAACTAAAATGGTTGTAATTGTAGTTTAATTATAAATTACTTTCATTCTGGAAATGAAATGCAAAGAAAAAGTTGGCTTTGAACAACAGTTCTAGTAAAAAAAAGTATGTACGTTGAATATCATGCTAACAGTGCAAGTTCATTAAAATTATCATTTGACAAAAACAAGGAGTGAGAAAAATCCAGTTCAAATCAGTTCAATGCTTTTAATATTTATTTTGCACTTGCTGCTTGGAAGATAACCGCAAATAATATATAAAACTCACTAGCTTTAACTGACGATTCTTAATGCCCACTCTAAATTTTCTCTTCCTAAAGTTCTGCTTTCCCTTTTCCCCCATCATGTCTCTGCCATGAGCCAAGCTGCCTGGTCAAGGTGTCACTGACCAATAGGTCATTAATTCCTGGAAGACAGAGCGAGTCCTACTACCCTCAATTTCCTCCTCCCTCCCCCAATAGATGGAACACTGTCATATGCAAATATCCCTATCCAGGGTCAAGAGCACAAACCTTCTTTTCACCATGCAACACACACAAGCTCTTTCAGGGAATCAAGTTCAAATGGCATTTTCAAATTAAAATGGCTCTGAATTCTGACTTTCTGAATGAATATTCCTGCTGTACTCCCACCATTCCATTGATTAAAAATAGACTTTTTCTTTTAGCCAAAGTAACTTTTGATGGACAACAGATCTACAATGTAAAGCAGAAAATGCAAAACATACTTAAATTTTGTGACAAATGTTATGTACTTAGAGTTCCCAAAGGTTATGCTTATAAGAAAATACCTATAGTGTGAAATCCTTCACTTCACTTGTAGTGTCTCAGAATCCAGTACAGAAATGTGTTTTTATTACTGTTTTCTGTTCGAGTTTCAACTCTGAATACCATACCCCAGTGTTAGACCTTAACTGTCCAATGGTGCAGCTTTGAGGCTCTTTCAAGGATCTGAGAGATCAACCTCTTCTTTTACTCACGGGCAAGTAATAATGACTTCAGGACAAAAACCTTTGACATACTGACAAAACTATCAAGTTCCATGTGAAAGTTAAAAGCATTACTATTAGGACATGGATCTTACCTACATTATGGCATGGTCTTTGAAAATGGTGCATTATGTGGATTATAATGGAGTTCTTGCCATAGTGAATGTCTTGTAACAATACCATGAAATGTGACCTAAAAAACATCGGAACAAATGTTTGGTCGTCTTAGAAAAGATGAAATTGACTGTGTGTGTTTGTTAACGGGAACAGGGTATTCTATATAAACCTAAACTGAGATGCACTATTTATGGCAATAAAAATCTACTAACGATTTTCAATTTAATTGTAATCACCTACTAGCATAGTAGGTATGCTGTATAATAATCAAAGCAAAGATGTTTTAAACTGAAACAATTTTGAGTCATTGCTTTCTGTTCCACTGGATAAAATAGATGGATTTTTGGAGAAATGGGATTAGGTTTTGACCTTCTGCAGTTGTATAATATGGATCTGGTTTAATGTGGAAATAAAAATAAACACCTGAGATGTAACAATGTTGTCAATGAACTATTTATACTATTATACTCCTTTATATTATTGTGCAATGTTAAAATTCTCTCACGGTCATAGGAGAGCATGCACAATTTGTCAGTTTTGTAATGATTAGTGTGATGACATAATTACTGTAAATTTGACATCTGTGGCAGCATCCAAAATATTTTTCCACCCTTCCAAAGAAAACCTCGTTATTTCCACTTGATGTGGAGGTGCCGGTGTAGGACTGGGGTGG